AACCTGGTAAATGGAAAGTGTCATTTAAGATTTCTGCATTTTCCTCTTTGACTGAAGACAACACAAACTCATCAGTTTACCATGTGTTTCATGCACACACACAGACACACACAGTAAGACCTCCCACAGTGCGTTTCTCTGGTCCACAGTCACACACTGATGGGCAGGTTTGGGCCCAGCGTCTATGCAGAGGTCCTGGGAAGGGATTGGCAGGAAGCTGCTCTTCCCTAAAGCAGTCCAAAACAAAGCTGAATGTTCAGCTGGCGTTTGAGTCGGTGTGTTTCAGATCTTCTGAATGCTTAGTTGCTGGGGTAGAAGGGTTTTCCACCAGCTCCTGACGGTAGAAATAACCCTGCTTGGTGTTTCTGCGAACCTTCTGGAACATTTGTTAGCACTTGGGCTTTTTGTTTTTTTGCTGACCAGTGCAGTTTGTTTGCTCTTTTAAAAACTGCATATAGCGCTAACAACATCAGATCTGAAGCCTCTTCAGACGTTGTTATTGCTGTGAACGGTCCACGCTGTCTCTGAAAAATGTCTTTAGTGTGAAACTGTTCCACACCATCTGTAGCTACACACCAAAACCCACCTGCACGCGCTGGTTACAACCTCTGTCTTTGTTCACAGTGAGTTAGAATGGATGACATAGTCATATGTGGGATATCGGGCCGTTTGCCAGAGTCCAACAGCCTGGAGGAATTCTGGGAAAACCTCATCAACGGCGTGGACATGGTGACGGAGGACGACCGGCGCTGGACTCCAGGTGAACTATGGCAGCGTCCGCTGGCACAGACTGACGCAAGCTGGCAAAGTACAATCTAGATATTTGAAGTAGGACAGACATGTTAGGAGTTTTTGATGAAGAATTCTATTGAAAATTTCTAATATAAAGTTGCTGTTGAAGGAGAAGAAAATCACTGAGATTAGCAGTTCACTCATAGTTAAGCAAGGGGGTGATTTCTGGAGGCTCTATGGGCATATAGTGAACAGAGTATTGAGGCAAATACAGAAAAATGATCTTTTGAATGAGCCACCAAAAAAAGGATGAGTTGCATTTCTTTTGGTATCTTACAGATTTACTTTACAGAGGAAGTAATGATCTGTAACTCAATAACTAAAAGTGAAGTGAACATAAACAGTAATAGTTCATTACTTTATTGATGCCACCAATGGGAAATAAACTAGAGTCCTGCATGCAACTGCAAATACTCACTGGTTTTTAAGCTTTTTCAAAATGTCTGTTTCGATGTAGGAAAATATGGTCTCCCAAAGAGGAATGGGAAGCTGAAAGACATCAGACATTTTGATGCTGGCTTCTTTGGAGTCCACCCCAAACAGGCCAACACCATGGACCCTCAGCTCCGCCTCATGCTGGAAATCACCTATGAAGCTATTGTGGACGGAGGTCAGGAAACTGAAGCAGCTGGAAAATATGACTGCATTGTTTTTCTATCTTTGTTGTTTTTTTTGCATACAATAACAATAATTGCATTACAGGACTGAATCCGACCACACTGCGAGGCAGTAGAACGGGGGTCTACATTGGGGTGAGTGGCTCAGAGGCTGGAGAGGCTTTCAGCAGAGATCCAGAGGAGCTGTTGGGCTACAGCATGACTGGCTGCCAGCGAGCCATGTTGGCCAACAGACTGTCCTACTTCTTTGACTTCAAAGGTATGTGCACACACAGCTATGGGTAGAAAAAGAGGTCAAACTGAGTTTAGGTGAAGGGACCCAAACAATACAATTCAGAATTTAGATGAAATTAGTAGCCTGTGTCAGTAACCTCCACAGCTACAGCTGGAAACAGTTTCCCTGAGCCTACCAAAAGTCCCCTCGCTGTAATCAGGCCTCCTGTCGGGTATCGCTGGATCTCCACAGCAGCTCCTGTGTTCAGCCGTCCTTACCTCGGCTGAACCTGCTCCTGACCTAACCAGGGCACGCTGAATGTAAAGTCTGAGGGAAGGGGTTCATGCATGTAGCAGATGCATGTCAGTTTTGCATTTTAATTAATTTAACTTGAATTACATTAAGCTACAACCAACCAACAGCAAAAGTTCTCTGGAGACAGTTTATGGATAAGTTTCTTCAATGTAGACCAATTTAATCTAGTTAAATAAATGGGAGATTTGCCATTGGTTTATAATTGGCCAACATTCCAGGATCAAGGGGAGGTTTTCCAGGAAAGGTTTAATCACAGCAGCCTTGATTTCTGTGGTTCACAGCTTATTAAAGACGGCCGATCAATCCAGTGTTGTAGTGCCAAGTGGTTAGATGGACTGGACAGACCCAGTCTGAATACAAATCAGGTTTGAAAGACACTTCTAAAGCTGCTTGGCTTGCTGGAACCCAGAGAGAACAGTTGGAAGGATTTCTGGAATAGAACCATCTTGCTGATAAAGAAGTAAAAGACACACCATCCATCCCTGCTCAGGGAAGGGAAAAAGCATGTCCCAAACAACTAGACTTGATTTTAAAGTCTGGGATGTCAACAAAAAGCTGTGCTGGGACATTGTAAAACTATAGATTTGTTTGGATTGCCATTTAGTCGACATCAAGAGGGTGTGAGTTAGAGCCCAGAATTGTGTGATTTGGAAGGGTACATTGCGGTTGGAGTAACTTTGGATAATTATTCCTCAAACTTTCAGTTTTTTACTGCAGTTGTTCTAATTTCTGGACTCTTTTATGCTTTTTTTTATGTCAGAATCCCTTTCCCACAGTTTCTACATGTACAGAAAATCTTTTAAACATAAAAATCTCACCTTACCAAAAAATAGATTGATATTTACTTTATGCATAGTAAGGCGAGGTAAAGAAATGAGGACCACAAATAACAAAGCAAGAAGAACAAGTATTTAAAAAAATTACATTATTAAAAAAAAAACAAATTAAGAGATTGAAATGACTACAAATGAGGAAAACAATTGTATTTTTAGATGCTTTCACAAACGTGGTGGAGCCAGTTGGAACCGGTTTAATTGAATATATACCCCTGTATGTGGGTGCTTATGGAACATTAGAAAGGTGTATAAAACTTTGTTGATCTGGGATCACAAGCATGACATGTTCCCCAAAAAGAGGTCAGGACAGTTTAATCTCGGAAGTATTTTCACATGACTCATTTGCTAAAGCGCACAATTAGCCACAGGCTGTGAACATGCCAGTCCTGGGTTGGTTTAATGTTCCACACTTCCTTTGAACGTTGTTGTTTTTGTGGTGTCGGTTGTTGGCCCATCTGCCTTAATCCAGCTTCCTTTTCCAGGCCCCAGCACTGCCATTGACACAGCCTGCTCCTCCAGCTTGTTGGCTTTAGAAAATGCCTTCCACGCCATTCGTCAAGGAAACTGTGACGCTGCTGTGGTGGGAGGGGTCAACCTGCTGCTCAAGCCCAACACCTCAGTGCAGTTCATGAAACTGGGCATGCTCAGTCCTGAGGGGACCTGCAAGTCCTTTGATGCATCAGGTAAATAGTCTGCTGGTTAAAATGCATTTAAAGATAACTCCATGAAGTCCTGGAGGTGGCTCCAGCTGTGAACCCACACTCAGTCTTCACATGTGTCAAAGTAACTGATGGGAAAGGTGTCGGTGGGCTTTTGTGTTCATAATAAAGAATTAGCTCATCCACAGAGGGAATATGTACCAGTTTCTTTATTGTTTCACATCTGCTCGTATTACGTCAGTTTAAGTTTGTTCTGCCCGTTATGTAGTGTACGAGTGTGCTCAGGATAAATGTGTCATTTGCACCAGGAAATGGATACTGCCGTTCTGAAGCAGCTGTAGCAGTGCTGCTCTCCAAAAGGTCGGAGGCTAAGAGGGTTTATGCAACCGTGATCGGTGCAGGCAACAATACGGACGGATACAAAGAGCAAGGTAGGAGACTCAAGCCTTCAGAGCATGGACTGATTGATGGCCTCATCTGCTCTACCTCCTGCTATACCAGCTGCTGCTACACCAGCTGCTATACCAGCTGCTATACCAGCTGCTGCTACACCAGCTGCTGCTACACCAGCTGCTGCTACACCAGCTGCTAAACCAGCTGCTGCTATACCAGCTGCTGCTATACCAGCTGCTGCTATAC